ATAATCAGAAATGTTTCTTGAGCAGCAAATCAGCATGTTAGAATGATTTCTGAAGGATCATGTGACAATGATGCTGAAAATCCAGCTTTGATCACAGGAATAAATTCCATTAAAAAATATTTTTCAATATAAAACAGTTATTTCAAATTGTAATAATATTTTACAATATTAAGTTACTGTTTTTACAAATCTTTTTGGTGTCTGCAAATCTTTGAGACATTGTTGAGATCTGTTCTGAAACTCACATGTGGTCTTTTTCTCAGGATAAATATTAGAAACAAGAGATGTACAGTAATTGGTGTTTTGGTGAGTAAAGGTCACAATTCATGACCTTAAGTTTAAGCTCCAAGGTTGAGACCCTAAAGTTGAGTTTTGTTATACTTAAAAGTCCACTTAATCTCATTTCTGTGTAGGAGAAGCAACTTAGATGTCAAATAATAATTCTATTTTTCTTTCTGTGGGCAGAAGTGAAAGAGATGAAGTTGAAGAGAGTGCTAGTGCTGTTTTTATGGCATGATCCCGTGGCCACATTGTGGCTTGGGAAATTACAAGAGGGCATATTTCACTCTTCCAATTTCTGTCTCCATGAATGACTGCACACACGAGAGCGCGAGTGTGTCGGCGCGTGTTTGAATGTGTGAGCCTTCAGCCAGGTAACCTTGGCAACTAATCCTATTTACAGAGTATTGGATCCATTATTCAAGCATTTGGTCCCCAAGATAAATAAATCTAATCTTCATTCTCAGTGACATTAGAGAGCTTTAAATTCTAACTGGCGTTTGAAGACGTCGACACAAAATACTAGTGTCGTTTGGTGATCAGATACAATCTTGGTGTGACACGATTTTTGTGAGTTTTCCTTTTTCACACCGAACACGAAAGCAGAGCAGCAGCGTATGTTGAGCTTGATTTCTGGGTTACTACATTCAGTATTTCCTTTTATAATGGTTATGCTTTTAAAAATGGTTATCAGACATATGCTTGAACATATGCTATGTCTTGAAATCTAATTTACATAAAGAAGTAGATCATATTTACATGAATTGTAACTCAGAACGCAAACTATAGCTATACACTTATTAAATGATCTGTATTCAGTCAAATTTACAGATTAGAAAGTGTTTTTTAAAACAATGGGTGAGTAGTTTACGCCAGTATTGTTTGTTGCTAACCTGTAAAAACATATAACACAATTGTGAATACAAATGCAAAAACATGTATTTTTTTATCTTTTACTAATTAAAATGTACACATTCTTGCCTGCCTCACAAATCTCACTTTCTTCTCCATTAACAAATGCTCAACAGTGTTGTTGTTGTTGTTGTTATTATTGCCTAAAACTATTAAAAATAATTTTCATTAATTAAAATGAAGCTAAAATAAATATTAAACAAATATTAAATGTAAAACTTCAACTTATTGCTTAGGCAACTAAGTGAAATAAATAAGTTTATGTATTAAAATTAATAAGATTAAAATTGAATTTCTTTTAATTAAAATTAAATAAAAAAACTAACGCTAGCTTCTCTATTCTTTCTTGAGTCTATCTATCTATCTATTTCTTTTCTTTTTATTTATTATACAATTGACAAAAGCAAAAAAGGCCTCTAATGCTAGCTTGCTCTATTCTTTTTCTATTCTATCTGTTTTCCTTTTATTTATTATATAATTTAAAAAACCCTTGCTATGTGTATTATGTTAAGCTAACTGAGACTTCTTATAACTCTTGCGTATCATTGCTCTTTTGTTGATTTTGATTGCTTCCATTGTCTTCATTTGTAAGTCGTAAAAGCGTGTGCAAAAAGACTACATGTAAATATAAATTAAGACTGAATGGAAATATTAAAAAGCAGAAACGAATTAAAGTAAATCTGAAATAAAATAAAACAAATATGACATGAAAATCAGAAATGTTGCTTTGGCATCTAACTGAAATAAGTTTAAGTATTAAAATTACTAAAACTGAACTAAAAATAAATGAAGACTAAATAGAAATATTAAAAAAGCAAAAACTAATAAACATGATAAAAATAACTAAATTAATTTAAATACAAAAAAATAATAAAAGCAAATTTAAAATATGAATAAATCCTATCGTCATATATAAATTATACTAAAATAACACTGACGCTCAAAACAAAAAGAATTGCAAGGAGTAAACTCGCAATTGCGAGTTGTAAAGTCAGAATTCGCAATTCTGAGAAAAAGTCGGAATTGCAAGATATATATTCGCAATTGTAAGAAAAATGCAAACTTATATCCTGCAATTAAGAAAATTGTGAGTTTATATCTTGTAATTCTGACTTTATAACTCACAGTTGTGTTTATTTCAAACAATTCTGGGGAAAAAAGTCTGAATTGCGAATTTATATCACGCAATTCTGAGACAAAAGTCCGAATTTGCAATTTTGCAATTGCGAAAAATTGTGAGGTAAAAAGTT